AAAAGTCAATTGTGAGTTTGCCTTATAATCTGTTGAGATATAAACTCACAAATCTGAGAAAAAGTCAGAATTGCAGTATATAAAGTCCCAATTCTGACTTTTTTTCTCACAATTGTGAATTTTTCCTCACAATTCGGACTTATTTCTCACAATCGTGAGAGTTTATAGCATGCAATTCTGAGGGTAAAAAGTCTGAATTGTGAGATGTAAACTTACAATTGCAAGTTATAAAGTAGGCTACAAATTGTAAAAAAAAAAAAAAAAAAAAAAAAAAATTCTTTACAAGTTTGTATCTCCCAATTTGACTTCATAATATTTTGAGACATAAACTCACAATTCTGAAGAAAAAAGTCAGAAATGCGAGTTTATATCTTGCAATTCTGACTTTATAACACACAATTGTCCGAACTGTGAGAAAAAAAGTGAGAACTGAGATAATAAAATTTCAAGTATTTATTCTGTGGAGGAAACGGGCTTCCATAAGAAAGTTTGTATCAACATTAGGGTGAAAAAATTACAAAATTTTTCATTTTCTCTGAACTGTTCCTTTAAAATCATCCATCCCGGGAAGACATGAGCACATGATCCCAAGATTTCTCACACGCTAATTTTCCTCCCCAAAGTTCATTTTCTCACTGTCGTAAGGAAGTTGAGGGAGGTCCGGAGATTTATCCGAAACGTCCATCGCTTCGCCTGACCAACAGAACGCACAAAAGTAGAGGTCGAGCGATATGGGTTTTTCACTGGACAATGCCGATATTTAGAAACCAGGGCAGCCGATGGCCGATATATGATGCCGATTTTTTTTGGCCGATTTTCTTTATTTTTTTCCCCTTCATCTCATAAAAGTGAGTTTGAGTAAATGATTATTGCAGCCAGGGTACAAGATAGTAATAGTAGTAGTAGCCTAATTCAGAGTAATAATACATGGCTCAAAACTTAAGCACCTTCTCAAAACAGTTCTGAAGCATGCTTTTTGTTTACGTCTGCTGACAGACACCAGTGTTTTCCACAGACTTGCAAACGCAAATTCATTCTCCGCCAGCAGGAGGCGCTGTTGGAGCGGGAGATATAGCGGTTTCCCTGGTAACGACTGTAATCAAATAAGCGCTGAGCTCACAAACGCTACTTTATCAGGCATTACAGGAAAGATGAAATGAAAATGACATCGAAGCTTTTCTGAAGACGGTAGGTTCTTTCGAAACGGTCTGTTTTGCCCTGCCATCATTAGCTGAAGCTGTGTGTGAACAAGAATCGGCTACAGAGTGTGAGTTGCTCCGTCTCTCACGCAGCCAGAGAAAGATTCTCCGGTGTTCCGCAACAACGCTTAGCTGCCCGCAGATGCGCCTGCCTATAAATCGGCCTAATTTGCAGCATAATGCCGATTATTTAAAAAATGCCAAAAATCGGCCGATTAATCGGTTGACCTCTACACAAAAGACAAACAGGCGGTAACCAAACATAAACCTCCAAAACAAACAAAGCGGGTGTATTCAAGCGCATGGGTGAGCGCACACATACCCGTCCCGTAGACTTCCTACAGGTCGCTACAAGACAGGACACAACGTGGACCTGAACAAAACATGCAAGGAATGCGGCTTCACAAACCCTCTCCGACTTGAGTAAAACAGCCAAATCATGTCCGTATATTGTTCAAATTAAGTTAATTCTCAAATAAGAAGCGCCCTGACATGATGTATATGGCTCAAACACATTCAGCCCTGCTAAATGTGCTTTTCTCAGGTGTGTCACAAAGTAATGTTCAGGTGAATAACGCCTCGGGATAAGCATTCTTTCCTTTCCCACACAGTTTCAAAACAAAACAGTTTGATTGCTAAGGAAATGCATAGTGATGGACCAATACCAAAATCTTAATGGACAGTTTTAAATGTTAAAACTTATCTTAAGTAATTTTTTTTAAAAGAAATGAATATTTTATTCAGGAAAGATGCATTAAATGGATCAATATAGAGGTTTCCCCGGTAACGGCTGTAATCAAATAAGCGCTGCGCTCACAAACGCTACTTTATCAGGCATTACAGGAAAGATGAAATGAAAATGACATCGAAGCTTTTCTGAAGACGGTAGGTTCTTTCGAAACGGTCTGTTTTGCCCTGCCATCATTAGCTGAAGCTGTGTGTGAACAAGAATCGGCTACAGAGTGTGAGTTGCTCCGTCTCTCACGCAGCCAGAGAAAGATTCTCCGGTGTTCCGCAACAACGCTTAGCTGCCCGCAGATGCGCCTGCCTATAAATCGGCCTAATTTGCAGCATAATGCCGATTATTTAAAAAATGCCAAAAATCGGCCGATTAATCGGTTGACCTCTACACAAAAGACAAACAGGCGGTAACCAAACATAAACCTCCAAAACAAACAAAGCGGGTGTATTCAAGCGCATGGGTGAGCGCACACATACCCGTCCCGTAGACTTCCTACAGGTCGCTACAAGACAGGACACAACGTGGACCTGAACAAAACATGCAAGGAATGCGGCTTCACAAACCCTCTCCGACTTGAGTAAAACAGCCAAATCATGTCCGTATATTGTTCAAATTAAGTTAATTCTCAAATAAGAAGCGCCCTGACATGATGTATATGGCTCAAACACATTCAGCCCTGCTAAATGTGCTTTTCTCAGGTGTGTCACAAAGTAATGTTCAGGTGAATAACGCCTCGGGATAAGCATTCTTTCCTTTCCCACACAGTTTCAAAACAAAACAGTTTGATTGCTAAGGAAATGCATAGTGATGGACCAATACCAAAATCTTAATGGACAGTTTTAAATGTTAAAACTTATCTTAAGTAATTTTTTTTAAAAGAAATGAATATTTTATTCAGGAAAGATGCATTAAATGGATCAAAAGTGACAGTAAAGTCATTTATAATTTTACAAAAGAGTTGTATTTCAAATAAATGCTGTTCTATTGAAATTTCTATTCATCAAAGAATCCTAAAAAATAATTGTTTTTATTAATATGTTTATTCAGCAAGGATGAATTAAATTGATCAAATCTGAAAGTAACAATATGTATAATGTTACAAAAGATTTTTAATAATGCTGTTCTATTGAAATTTCTATTCATCAAAGAATCCTAAAAAATAACATGTATAACAGTTTCCACAAAAATAATAAGTAGCACAACGGTTTTCAACTGATAATAATCAGAAATGTTTTTTGAGCAGCAAATCAGCATATTAGAATGATTTCTGAAGGATCATGTGACCACTGGAATAAATTACAATTTAACATACATTCAAACAGAAAACAGCTATTTTAAGTTATAATAATATTTCACAATGTTACTGTTTATCCTGTATTTTTGAGTAAATAAATGCAGCCGTAGTGAGCAGAAGAGACTTCTTTCAGAAACATTAAATAATCTCATTGACTCCAAACTAATAATTAAAATAACAATAATAATAATATTTTATTTTATGTAGGCCCTTCTTCAGGCACTTTGCGGAGTAAAAGCAAACAATTTCAATTAAAAATACTACATATTTATAGAATTTTACCTGTTTTCAATCTATATATTAATCAGTCTATAACCGTTCAATCTAGAATTTCAATCTGAATTTCTAAAAGTGTTACAATGTACAGTAAGAAAGACAGATATAAATGCATGAAAATTTAAATAAATATAAATATTATTTTGAAATGATACCATCTGCTTCCAATATCAATCCAATCAGCAGCCAATCATTTAAAATAACTGCACTGCTCAGTAATGATATAGTAACTGATGCACTGCATTGTTCATTCTTAGTAACCGTCATTAACCGAAAATGAGCTTTTTATTACAGCAATATCCACTGATCAACAACAAAACTTCCCCTGCAGCCTCACCCTAAACCCTGACCCGATCTGGGCATCCAGGACAGCTGTTTAGGGTGAGGTGATCAGGAGGATTGAGTTTCCTTCCCACCGCCGAAAGAAACCTCCTGTCGCTTTCCGTTACTAGACTCACCACAACCAGATAGACACATCTAGAGAGACAGACAACACACACACACACACACACACACACTCCAGTCTGTGTTGTCATATTCCTAAACTTAACATGCAACATGACAGCATCCAACTCTGTCTAAAGAAAGCCAACGAGACTGACAAATTCAACATATTTAACTAATAATGACAAATGCTGCCTTCAGCACAAGAAACATGACAAAGGCAATACTGTCACACCAAAAAACATATTTGCATTTGGATACATGACATCCAGTCTTGCATCTAAAACGTACTACTTAAATAACATTTGTATAATAAATGCTGCTTTTATGAAATCATTTTACTACATAAAAACAATCAGAAAATTAACATGCACATCAGTTTTGCTGTGCATGTACATTTTAACTATTATAGTAATATTCAAACAAATGTTATTTGTCAACTGCTCTTTTAAGAATAATTTCACATATATCTTAATATAAGAATACAACACACATAAAATGCACACATGAACCCTTTAAATATTTCTAAGACAAACTGTGCAGCCTAATCACACAGTAAACAAGACGAAAATGCATGAAAATTAAATAAACCTGTGCAGAACACATTGCATTAAACTCATAACTTCACTTATTCCTGTCTCTGTGTAAAATCAGTCTGTCTGAGCATGAGACTGACACCAGCAGCAGGCTGGAGAGTCTCTACTGTTTGCATGTGAGCAAGCATTGATAAATGCATCTTTAACTGCACACACGGGCGGACAGAACTGCCTCTGCTCGTTTGCATGCGTCTCTCGGTTGAACAGCACCGGGATGATCCCGTTTAAATGTCCCGTGCGCCAGCGCGAGCTCTGGGTCCCCAGCGGGCGCTAGCGCGTGCTAACGAACACTGATTTATTCCACTATTTCTGGGTCGAAATACACATTAGAGACCCGTGCATTTTGTGCATACTTAAAAAGCGCATTAAATGCGTTGATTAAAGAGTGAGGAGCTGTTAAAGTGCGATCTAACCGGGCCTACAGACTCAACGGGCCGGTTCGCGCTCACCGTGCTTGCTTTCTATTTTCCCCGACATGATCGCTGCGCTGGACGGAGCAAATCCTCAATTTGGACAGTCACAGGAAGACAAAATAAGGGATTTAGACCACAGTAATCCCGAGTTGTGTTCTTCAGCCACACATTTTGACGTACTGGGTCCGTGTGGCCGTAGATCCCTGGTAAAAAAAAAAAAGGGCAAGAATCCGTTCACATGCACACGCTGGCGACAGTCAGTGAACGCTACTGCTAGTGAGTGTGTGTGTGTGTGTGTGTGTGTGTGTCGAGTCCCGTCCTAAGGATCCATTGGGATGCGAACACAGCGCCGCTCTCTGACTGGAATCACGAGCTACAGGGATGAAAATGGGCTTGTTTGGCGTCAGATCGACGGGAATAATTGAGCTAAAACACGCATTCTGTCATTATTCGCTCTCTTTCGTGTCATTCAAAAGAGGCTTTAGTTTCTTTGTTCCGTGGAGCACAAAATGAGATGTTTGTCAGAATGTTCACGCTGCTCCTTTCCATACAGTGAAAGCGGATAGGGACTAAAGCTATCAAAAACTCTGAAAAGGACAAATTAAAGCTAGAATAAAAACAGTCCACACGGCTTCTGCTCTATATTCCAAGCGGTTGTGACATTTATTCCTTAAAGGTCCCATGGCATGAAAATTTCACTTTATGAGGTTTTTTAACATTAATATGAGTTCCCCTAGCCTGCCTATGGTCCCCCAGTGGCTAGAATGGTATTTATTTTTATGTCACAGCAAGCAAACCAGTAGTCATTTGCTACTAGTCTCTCTATTATATTCCATTGTTACTGGCTAGTGGTTTACTGATATGGGTTTTCAAATGCTGATGCAGATACAGTATAGAAAGATGGTCAATAAATTGTTGATCTATACGTAATTTTGGCTAATTTAATGATAGAAAATGATATGTACACATACATACTGAAATAAACTATTTTTTACACATTTTTTTTTTGCACAATCTATACTCATAATATGCTAATAACAATTACTATTAAGGATACAGTATGTTACTATTTAGTAACTTTTTATGTTTTTTTTCCCCCTTGTGTTAAAAATAATTCCTAACACAAAGTAAAATGTCTCAAATTATTTTAAAAATAACTACAGTAAATTCAATTACTTCAAAGAGATTCAAATTAATAAAAATATCACAGAATATTAAGTGTAGAGCACTTTCTAGTGTACTAAAAACTCACTGAAGAATCTGAAGTGTGGCTATCTGCTGCCACCCAGTGGCTAAATTATGAAATCACAATATTATTCAAAATAAATGTTTTCATTCTGCGAAGTAGGCACAGGTTTAATCATTTTCTTAGTGATATACTGTGAATAGCTGTCAAGACCATTTTTAATAAAAATTCCTAAATAGCAAGACTGAAGAAAACCCTTAATCAACAGCAAATGTTAACAAGATAATTGTCGATATCTCAGCTGGAGCGTTTGCTCGGGTCTGTGGGAGATCAGAGCAGTGCAGCAGGGATCGTTTGATCCGCCTGACTGTCAGCCTGAAGAGAACCATACAGATACAGACAGATGAAAATACTCCATATGGAGGAATGTGTTGTCTTTCGACCTCCAGCATGATGACATATTGACTGACGCTCACACATGTCCTCAGATACGCAAGCAGAGAGAGTGAGAAAGGTCAAAGGTCATCCTCCTAACCTGCTCAATATCTTGCAAGAAATAGAATGATCCGTCAAGTGTGACACAAATTCATACGTACACCGACACACACAGATAAGGTCAAGAGGAGACTCACTCCACACAGCAAACTGCTTACACACTCGATTTCAACACAGAGCTCTGCAGTCAAACACACACACACACACACACACACACACACACACACGCACGCACTGTGATTTAAGCATTTCAGTATTTGACACTTTCTATAAAAGATGTCTCTGGACTCTTGATTTGTAAAGAAATAAGACATGAATCCTGATACTATTAGATGTACAAGTAAACGACCTTATTTTATTTTCTCAATTTTTACACACATTATAGTTTAGAAACATATAGATTTGCTTATTAAACAGTGAAAAATGAACTGAAAACCAACTTTAAAATATCTTGAAAAAATTGTGCGTGTGTGTGTAATAAATATATGTGTATTAAGGGGGGGGGGGAACCCTGCATTTAGCATTTTTGAAAATGAATTAATTATTTAAAAAATACATATTTTATTTGATTTTTTTCTTTTACTTTTTAAAGCTTATTTTGTACCCATCTGTAGAAAGTGTCCTTTCATCTATAGTTCGGGATGTTCTTGACCTCACTGGATACTTTCAGGGAGCGCATCATTCACGTGTGTGTGTGTGTGTGTGAATGTTTCATTCATGTGCCAGTTGATATATATGATGGTAAGAATATGACATTAAGCTTGAATAAAATCAAAATAAAAGATGAAACTACTGCAGAGGCAAAAAGGACAGAATGGCAAGAGTGAAGGATAAAGGGATGACATTTCGAGGAAAACAAAATGAGTACAGAGAAACCCCAGGGGTGCAGGACAGGCCGAGAGAGAAGAAAGTGTGTTTTTATGGGTGTATTTGGGTTGAGGTTTGGCTGGAGGACAGGCAAATATCAAGGTGTTGGACCTGCTGTGCTGGATGACACATTTATGACACACACACACACACACACACACACACACACACACACACACACACACACACACAGATAAAGGAGGATCA